CTGGCGGGAGTGGGCCTGTGGCAGACTCTGTTTCCCAGCAACGCCTGCCCACATCCCTGGGGCCAGTTTCCATGGAAGCCCCAGCAGCAGCAGGGCCACAACAGCACAGAGCCAGGGCTTCTGTGGAGACCAGCCCCAGCAGTGCTGGCAGAGCACACAGCTGGACACGGAGCTGCTCTTGGGCTGGGATCTTGCAGTGGTGACAGTATGCTCCAGAACTGGGGCAGAGCTGCAATCTGCTGCCAGGTAGGGGCGTGCAGGCTGCAGATCATGGCTCTGCCCTGGCTCGACTATGTTGTCACAACTGCAAGATCCCAGCTGCAGAGGCCCTTCCTGACCAGCCACATGTACTGCCAGCACTGCTGGAGCCAGTCTCCATGGAAACCCTGGTCCCAGGCTGTCCCAGTGCCACTGCTGCTGGGGTCTCCATGGAAACAGGCCACAGCAACACAGGCAGGGGCAGCTGGGAAATGGAGTCTGGTCCCTGGCTGGATCCACCATTTTGCCCACCCTCTGGTTTAGTCTGGCCTGTTGAAGGCAGGATTATTCCTTTCTAAACCACGGCAGGCAAGCATTTATTTAGCCTGCTCTTAGGCTACCTAGAGAGGCGATAGACTCCTCATCCTTAGAAGCTTATTTCAATGCTTAACCACCTTAGAGTAAGAATACTCTTCCTAAGGAAAGTTTCCCTTGCTCCTTATCCTGTTCCCCCATGGCCATAAAAATAGACTACAGGTTTCCCTTGCCAACCATGGGGGTTAGGTTCCTGAAAGTTTCTGTGGTTGGCAAAACTGGCAGGGCTGGGGGTGGGGGGCACCAGCAAAGCTGTGGGGACTGTCATGGGAGTAAGAGGTATGAGCAGGGCCATGGGGGGTATTTTCCAACCGTCCCCCCCACCTCTTCTCTGAAGCATGGATACTCAAAACCATGGTTGGCAAGGGAATCCTGTATCTCCCATCTTCTGTACAAGTAGCTGCAGGGTGGTGAAAGGCTGATAACAGCCTTGTTTGTATAGAGTATCCCTTCACGCTGTTTAGCTTTGCAAGTCTTAAGACTGAAGTTGTTCATGCTCTCAGGCGCAAAGGTAAATTCCAGCCTATTAATGGTGGTTGTTTTTCTCTCATGCCTTCTCCCTGTACTGGGTGAACTGCCAGAGGCAAGTTCTTCAGCAAGACTCGAAAGTAAAGAAGTATATTCACAGCAAGAGTATAGTAGGGCCACCAACACTACTGAGTCTTCACAGGAAAGCCAGACTGAAAAGAAATACTGGAGAAATTCACAGCTAATAACTAGTACTAAATATGGGTGAATGGCCTCATATTTTCACTGTTAATTGCAAGTAGGAAAACAAAGTGATCATCAAAGCTTTAGATTAAATGCATGCTTTGTGTCTAGAAGGAAGAAACAAGGGTTGCTATCTTGAAATAGGATCTGTTCTTTAGTCTAATGGGAAGTCTTGAATTGTTTATGTGCATAAAAAAATCTTACCAAGGGAAAACATGAATTTAATGGAACAACAGCCTTCAGTGACTATCAACTTAGATCTAAGGGATGCTGGAGTATCAAGGTTAGTCTCGTTGACGAGTGAAAGCATGATTTGCTCTTTTCTCTCTCTAGCAAGCTCTATACTGAAAGAGCTCTCAATGCAGTATAACTGGAGAGTCATTTGTGTAAGGAGAGAATTGTCAAGCTAACAGTGCTAATTTATGCCTTGACATTTATTCCCCATCATTTTAGGCCCTTTCTGTGTTGCAAAAAATACACTGGCTACTTTCCCTAGCAAATGCTGTGATGGTTGCTTGAGGCTGCAGCCAGGCAATCTAGAAAAATAGCAGTGAGAAGCAGATAGCCTCATCTTGGTACTGATTGAAATGCCAATGATATTAAAGATGTTAAGGAAAAGTGCAGATGTTAAGTCTACACAGTTTATGCATCTGCTTTCAGTTTCCTTAAGAATAATTAATATTGTAAAGACCTACTGCCTAAGCTTCTCTTCTTTTATTAAATATTACTGCAACATTGCAGTTGGCTGTTAGAAATCAACATGCCATAACTTAGGGACCTACTCAAATTGAAATTCTGGTGAAATCAGGTGATGTCTTCAAGATCTGGAGTGGGGCTGGGAAACTTACTAAAAGTGCTGGCTGCACAGTGGAAGCTAGCAGTCCTCCCAGCCTGGCAAAGAAGGAGCTGCTAGCATGAAGGGGAGCAGGCAAGATGGCTGCTGCCCCCATCCCTCATCGCTGATTGGCTCAGAGGTTGCCTGTTATGCAGCCCTGCCCCTTTCCAATCAGTGGCAAGGAGTGGGGTCACAGGACTGATAGCCCTCAGCCAGTCAGTGTTGGGCGGCAGGGCCCTGTGGCCAATCAGAGGAGTGTGTGTGGCAGCCAGCCAAAAGGGCAGCCAGCTCTGATCTGTCCGCAAAATTGGTTGGCTGCTACCCCAAGTTGGGTAGATGCCCTAGCCATAACCAATGCCACAAAACCACTGAAGGGGGAGGTGGAGAATAATAGATACAGGTTTCCCTCACCAACCATGGTTTTGAGCATCCACACTTCAGAGAGGGGGGGACCCCCCCTTGAGGGGGGGGGGGGGGGGGGGTACAACTGGAAAATACCTGCCCCCCGTATGACCCTGCTCATGCCTGTCACTCCCCTCACCCCACACCCGCAGAGCCTTGCTCCCCCAGCCCTGCTGGTTTTGCTAACTACAGGAACTTTCAGGAACCTAACCCCCATGGTTGGCAAGGGAAACCTGTAATTACACATACCAGCTTCCAGAGTTACAGCCTGGAAACATATTCTAGACCAGCTGTTTTCAACCTTTTTCAATCTGCAGAACCCTGAAAAATTTTGAATCAACATGTAAACCCTTTTGGAAATTCTGAATGGAGGTGTGGACCCCTCTGAATTGTGAGTGTGGGTATTTACATACTTTTGATTGATCATAGTCATCTTTCATGAACTCTTAGACATAGTCTGCAGACCCCCAGTGGTTTATGGGCCACAGGTTGAAAACCACTGCCCTAGACCATTTGAGAGAAAACAAAGCCACAGCAAGACATAAAAAATATATTTGTTTTTCCCTTTAAGAATCATGTGTACACAACTCCAAGCCCAGCTGTACGGCTCCCATTTGCAGAGACCAGTAGGAACAGCAGAATTTCCCTTAGTAAGAGCTGCACCCATTCTTGGGGCTTGCATGAGAGAGAGACTATAGAACTGAACCCTGCATCTGAGGTATATTTTATCTTCTAAAACTTCCAAATTGACATACATGAAAATGGTCTTGTACACCATCTACTAGCACAGGTGTGTGTATGCTGTAACAGTCTGCTATATTAGACAGTTGCCCAAGTAAAGGACAACAAGAAATTGTTTTTTAGATATATAGGAAGTAAAAGGGAGGCCCAGGGAGGAATAGGACCCCTGCTAAATGGGCAGAAACAATTGGTGACGGACAGGGGGGACAAGGCTGAACTCCTCAACGAGTTCTTTGCCTCAGTGTTCCTAAGCGAGGGGCACGACAAGTCTCTCACTGGGGTTGTAGAGAGGCAGCAGCAAGGCGCCAGACTTCCATGCGTAGACCCTGAGAGGGTGCAGAGTCACTTGGAAGAACTGGATGCCTTTAAGTCAGCAGGCCTGGATGAGCTCCATCCGAGGGTGCTGAAGGCACTGGCCGACATCATTGCAGAGCCACTGGTGGGAATATTTGAACGCTCGTGGCGCACGGGCCAAGTCCCAGAGGACTGGAAAAGGGCCAATGTGGTCCCCATTTTCAAGAAGGGGAGGAAGGAGGACCCGGGCAACTATAGGCCAGTCAGTCTCACCTCCATCCTTGGCAAAGTCTTTGAAAAAATTATCAAGGCTCACATATGTGACAGCCCGGCAGGACAAATTATGCTGAGGGGAAACCAGCACGGGTTCGTGGCAGGCAGATCGTGCCTGACCAATCTAGTCTCTTTTTATGACCAGGTTACGAAACGCCTGGACACAGGAGGAGGGGTGGATGTCGTATACTTAGACTTCAGGAAGGCCTTCGATACGGTATCCCACCCCATACTGGTGAA